TTTCGTCGCTACCAGACACTACTAACTGAGATTGGGAAAGACAAGATCAAACTGGAACCTCATCGGTAAGACTTTCCCTGACCCTCACGAGAACCACTAGCGGTCGGGCGGCATAACGGCCAGCAAGGTCATCGAGGAAGAGCTCTTCCAGGAGACTATCGACCTCGCGGCTGACCTTCATAACAAGCCCAACATCAATGCTCAGGACGCCCGCATCAGCCTTGAGAACAAGCGCATGGAGAAAGGTGACCATGCTTCGGAAAAACAGACTACTCCCCCTGTTGACCCCCAAGTCAAGGTTGCACAATCGGCCATCATCGTCAGTTTGGGCCAGAACACCACTGTCATAAGCGCTCTCATGCCTCGGACCGGGGAGAACATGACACCACCATCTCCTCCACCACCTCCTGTTGTCACCTTCATCGGCAATGACGAATGTGTCATCCCCCAAGACACATCATCGTACACCGCTTCTCTTCCACGAGCTGAGCCGACCCACCGACGTGGTAAGACCTCGGTCTTCCATAAGCTAGGTGACACGCACCGTCAGCCTATCTCGGAGAGGATGACAGGACGGTTAGGCGACCGTGAACCGACATTGCCCAAGAAAAGCTTCGGGTCAATGTCCCGAACAACAGACTGGCCTCGTAATGACAAAGGGAAGGGTAAGCTGCACGAGGAGGACGCAAGCCACCAAATCAACCAGACTCACGCGGCTCGCATGCAAAGTCATGCAAACGTAACAGGGAACCACTGCCGCCACGAAAGACCATCGAAACGAGGTGATAGCCCAGGTGGAGAGGCGGTTGGCCCAAATGGAAGCGAGACAGCTGACAGGTGGAACAACGACCAGCGCCTCCCACGACCCTTGCTACAACGTCCTCTTACACAAGGTCAGCACCCTAGAGAGGCTGTTGGCTGAAGGGCGTGGTGAGCCCATCATACAGATCAGAACAAAGACCCTCTTCACAACGAGGGTACTCTCTGTCCAGATTCCCGAGAAATACCGCAACAATGTCATAAAAACCTATGACGGCCAAACAGACCCACAAGAACACTTCAACTGTTACCAGAACATCATGTTGATGGTAAACGCGTCAGACGAATACCTATGTCATTGGTTCCTCTCCACTCTCAAAGGACCGGCATATGAGTGGTTCAACGCGTTGCCTAAGGGCAGCGTAGACTCACTTCTAACTCTCACTTCTCTCTAGATTAATACTCTATCACTTACTTTCGAAAAAAGTTTGATGTCAACTAGCATGAATTGAGATATGATATCAGAGTTAAAAGAAGACGACACCTCATCCCTAAGGGTCCCCCATCACTGATCGGACAATAATCTTGAAAGATGTAAATTGATATTTAATCGCAAGCTGATAGATAGTGAGTGTGGTCCATTGCATTTTGCATAGTAATCTCTCATCACAATTGACAAAAATTAAAACTGAGACTAACCTTTTGTGACACCCGCTATCTACCCGTTGAGCTACACCCGGATGATATAAGAGTTAAAAACATTAGAATGAGAAGGATGAAGATAAAAAAAAATATGCTACGTATATTTTATTGGTGGAGGATTTATATGACATTTAAAGGGAGATATAAAACATAGAAATTAGTTTAGAACAATGTTGATTGTCAAATGAATTGAAGAAGTCCTTGAGGATTATCTTCTTTTTTTCGTCTTATACGAAACTATACATTGTACATCACTAAAAATGCATGTATATCTAGGCTTAAATACTTGGTGTCTTGTACGGCAGGTGACCACCGCCTTGAAAATTTTCAATTCCCAAGATAAGAATTTGATTTATACTACGTATGACACAAATTGGAAAGAGCTCAAAATTGGCATTGACATGTCAGTGTGAAATACTCATTCTGTCACTCATATGGAGATTCTGAGAAAAGAATGAGATGTAAGCATCATAAGCAAGGTAAATCTGATTTTCTTGAATGAACAGGAAGGTATCACTGAGTTAGAGATGAATTGCTTATCCACAAGCCAAACAACCACAAGAACGGCCAAAAATACCCATGTTACCAGCGGTTTGGAGAGCAAAAGGTAGCAGATGCATTAAGGTATTTGTCAATCTACTTTGTACAAGTTTTAGAAAATCCCATCTCAATTCAGCCTTGAGTTCATTTTCTTGATAGCTTCTTCAATTTCAGGGACACTCTGTTTGAGGGATGCCCATTGTTCTACTGTCAAGCTTATTCCTGCAGACAAGAGCACAGTACAAAGACAGTCAATTGGTTGGTTCACAACTTCGCATCAACCGCACAATGAGCATAACCATGGAATTGCAACCAATTCAACATCCTACATACCATGTCTTAATTCTAATTTCTAAATATCCTTGCCTGCCCAGACCCTGTGTAGTGCTTTATACCAGTCTCTTAAACAAAGCAAAACAATGGTTTCCAACCTGACCGGCCTCATAAATGCCAAAAACCTCCACCTATGCAGTAAAAGAAGATATGCAACCCAAACTTTCTATGTTTGCACCTCATAACCAGTAAAAAACTAGGGCAGTAGATGTTCCATACTTTGAAAATAATGCCTAACAGATGAGTTTAACACGGTGTTTTGACTTCAATTGATAGGAAATAGGAATGTTCAGCAAATTGACATGATCAGCAATTAAATCAATTAGAAAATGAAACAACGAATTGAATTTGAGTATATGTTACCTTTAGTGGAAGGGAGCTGTTTGCCATCTTTCATATAGTATTCTCTTATTGACAGCAGAGGCTTCCCTTTGTATTCAGTGAGCGTCACTTTTCTCTTATCCGACAACTACACAAAGTTTAGCAAATTGTCGATTAGGAATCTGCTCTGAACTTCATAGATTACATTCAATTCTCATAAGATACAATACATGCATTACGTTCTGAAAACGATGTCTAAGGTATATAACATCGCATTCGCCAAATAACTACTCATCGTGAAAAATAACAGAGTAGAACAAACAAACAAAACCGAGGCTAGGTATAAGTGTATAACTCACTCGGCAAAGAACAAGGTCACCACAGTCATCATACTCTTTATTTGCTTTCTCCGCGACGGCTATCTCTTTAGCTTTTGGTTCCAGGAGGTACATTTCCACGACGGAGCGAACAAGCTGCATCCGAACCGGATTGGAGAGGTCAATCCCGAGCTTTTCAGAGGCGGACTTTCGGATCGCGTACTCCGTGGTCGTAGCCATGTCACAGGACCTGAGAACTTCCAACACTGTTTCTGTGATTTTGGTTTCGGTCTCGTCCATAGCCTCTGAAGCCATTTTCGTTCGAAATCCAAGTTTGTGCTCTGAGAAGTTGGAGAGACGACAGCTGTAGACGCTACCTGATTCAGGTAAGTGGAAGGTGGCGACGAGTAATGAGAAAGTGGAAGGAAAAATGGACGTATTTAGTAGTCGCTCTTCTTACTCGGCCTCCCGCTCATTTTCAAATCTTCCGATTCGGGATGGAAGTGTAAAATTTTTGACCAAACTGCCTATAAAATTCTTAATAAAAGTTTATGAATAGTAAGGGTAATAAATTAAGTTGAAAAAGTAGGAAAGATGGTGGAAAAGTAGGTAAAAGAAAATCAAAAGTAAAAAAATGAGAGTAATGGGCTATTTTTACATGAAAAAATTGTAAAAAGATATTAGGATCGGCTAACATGAATCGATACATGATATCACAACCAATAACGATATTCATATTTCGATTCATGTCATGTGACTAGGTGATACTGTTGGCCGTCACACGCCTACCACAACACCCTCCTCCTTTATCCTGGCTTGGGACAGGCATGATACCAAAAAAATGATACCAAAAACTTGTCAAAAAGAGAAAATATAATAAACTTTTAAATACATCCAAATTAAGAAAATGTAGCAAACTTTTAAATACGAAAGGAGTAGTAATCAAGAAAAATGTGTTTCTCAAAAGTAAAAGTTGATAGTGTTTGTTAAAATAATTGATTTTTGTAAAATAGAAAACAAGAAAACCAATTTAAAACATCCTTCCACATACTTCCATCGTTTAGCTTTTAAGCGTTTAATTAAAGCAAAACTGATACGTAGTACTTTTTCTGCAGCAGTAGAAACTGATACTTTTTTTTAATCGAAACATAAGCCTTTCATTAAATTAAAGAGTCATTTGATGCATGACTTACAATACACTCCAATATCATATTATAGCAATATAGCTACTACTATGATCTGAGATAATGACATGAGCTTGAGCTAATGCGTGAACCGCACAATTCGCGGATCGTTTACAAAAAGAGATTTCAAAATTTCTCTTAGTTTGAAGCAAAAAGCGGAGATCATTAATAACCAAATCCGTGTACGATAAGCCCTCCTCTTTATGAATGCCTCTAAATTGAAACTTGAAAACACTCATTTCAACTCTTTTTAAGCCAAAAATTGAAAAACACTCTAAATTATGCCAAAGTCCGAAAATAATTCCAATTTCATTTAAGCAACACCACTTTTGAATATATATATATAAGGTGTGTGTGTGCACACACACACCTTATATACTCCATAACAATTTTACGATTAAACATTAATTAGTGGTCATTCATTTCAAAATCCATATCTCAGCCCATGCCATCCATGCCATGACCTTCTTATTACCAGGAGTAATATGTTTAAAAAACAACTTTTTCTCCCAAAACTTCCTAACCTATTATAGTACCCCCTTCGGTCCTTAATTAACTTTACACTTTCCTTTTCGGGTCGTCCTATATTAAACTTTACACTTCCTTATTTGCCTTATTTGGCAAACAAATCTACACCAAACAGTGCAAAACAGTGCTAAACAGTGCCAAACAGTGTATTCTACAGTAAAGTCAAATTTATTTCCTTAATATGTGTGAAGTCAAAGTGTAAAGTTTAATAAGGACCGGAGGGAGTATATGATCAATACTAAGACCAACATCATATCATTGAATTGGGATGGTATTCAAACTTGTGAACCCCTCATGCATTAGGAGTGTCATAATGATGTCATCAGACCCCAAATTACTTGACTTAGAGCACGCTTGGTGACACCGAAATTAGCTGAATCGGCTGATTCTGTTGAAATTTATGAAGTTCTGTCTGAAGTTCTGACTGATTCTGCTGATTTATGAAAAAATTATATTTTAAATATTTTTTGTTAATAAAATAAATAAATAGTATATGAAAGATTAGCTAAAATGGTCCTCTACAGTAACTTCAGCCAATACAACCAGAAAAGTATCTCCAACCTTAATTTTTATTATTATTTTACAATTCAACGTGCGAAATCAAAAATTACATATTTGGTGAAAAAGTTGACCGATAAGTTTGATAAGCTCGAAAACCGAACTACCAAACGAGCTCTTATAAAACAAATTTTATCAAATTCAAAATGGGAAACTGTCCAAGTAGTGAACTTGGTCGTTAGATTAACCGTGGCGGATTGGGAAATTAGATTTTGAGTGTTCAATGCTTTTTTAGAATTACAAATTTAAAGAATAATAAACAATTATACCAAATTCACACATATATACCTAAAAGTTTTTTAAAAAAATTGGGTGTTCATGTGAACACCTTTGAACATGAGTGGCTCGGCCACCGTACTTAGATAGAGACAAGTAAAAATTAAAGCACTTGTCACCTGAGGCAGCAAAATGCTTTCATGATATTGGTTATTAGGCTAACCGCAAGTCAACTCAATAACTCAATTTTTTTACTAGTTTACAGGTATTCACTCGGTCATTTCAATTCAGTTTTTACTCCAACCCATCACTCTGCAATTTTTTTAATTAAAGTCTTACATTTATGATTATACATCAATTTTTTCCGGGTTTTTAGCAAATAACTATGATTTAAAAAGTCAAACATTTTAATGTAAAAATAAATAAATTTAGAGTTTAATTTTATTTTTGTTACTTTAGATCTATTTTTAAATAAAATAATTGAAAGATGTAAAAAAAATCATAGGATCTTAATTTTAGTACCTGAATCTGTTTAAGAAAAAATTTGAATTCAAAAACCTTCATCAGTTGAAAGTTCATATTTTCCCTTATAACTTTATAATTTTGTATATCTTGCCAAATACCTTGTGGTTTGATAGCATCACTGAAACACTTCCAAGAAAGAGATCACAAGTTCGAATGTTTTTAGTTTCCCTATGACAATACTCTATTTATACTATCCATCGTCACCAATATATTTACGGGGAAATGAAAAATAATAATTCAACCTTTATCCGGTCTTCATTTAACGGCCTGTGTTATCTAAAATTCATTAAATATCCCAACTTTCCATGCCATCTTCAATAAATAGTCCCGACCTGAGAGTGACCGGATGGATTATTGTTTCTACTTTTTCTAAAAATATGACTTCACCATCAAATAGCGCCCAACTTACGCGACCTCCGAACTCGTTTGCTCCCATCTCCGCTTTTTCTTCAACGATGGAGGCAACCACTTCTCCTCGCCACACAGGCTGCCGCCGCTCCTCGTCGTGTCTCCTCAACCGCAGTCCCTCCTTCTCAGCTGCCGCAACCCTCTTTTCTTCTTCTACTCCTTTCTCTCCCACTATCGTCCACAACCCTCTTTTCTTCTTCTATAAATATCCCAACTTTCCATGCCATCTTCAATAAATAGTCCCAACCCGAGAGTGACCGGATGGATTATTGTTTCTACTTTTTCTAAAAATATGACTTCACCATCAAATAGCGCCCAACTTATGCGACCTGCGAACTCGTTTGCTCCCATCTCCGCTTTTTCTTCAACGATGGAGGCAACCACTTCTCCTCGCCACACAGGCTGCCGCCGCTCCTCATCGTGTCTCCTCAACCGCAGTCCCTCCTCAGCTGCCGCAACCCTCTTTTCTTCTTCTACTCCTTTCTCTCCCACTATCGTCCGCAACCCTCTTTTCTTCTTCTACTCCTTTCTCTCCCACTATCGTCGCTCAAGCAGGTGCAGCGTCGATCTTCGATTCAAAAGCATGCCGCTGCAACTCCAACTCTGCGATGCTGCCACCTCGCTGTTGTAGCGTCGCTTCCGCCACCCAATAATCGAAATTCCAGATCGAATTTGAAGGATTTCATTTTTTTCTAGATCTAGTTCGTTCTGGGGTGACTCAGGTCCGGTAGGGGTAGGGAGGTAGTAGATGTGGAACTGGAAGCTAGGGCGTGGTTTGTGGACTGGGGTGCACGTTGGGGCGAATGGGGATTGGTGGGACAGGGGAAGTCCGGGGATGGGATTTGCGTGACAAGGGAAGGGGAGATGAGATTGGGGTTGGTGGGGGAGCTTAGGTTTGGGATGGGAGCTGGGGAGGGGCCTTGAGGGATGGGGAGGTGGCTGGGGGCTGAGGAGGTTGTTGGGGTGTCGGATGGGGTTGGGGAGGTGGCTAGGGGCCAGAGTGGTGGTTCGTGATGATGGTCAGCGTAGGCGCTAGGTTGGTGCGACATCACTGCGGGGTTGGGGGTGTCACTGTAATGCACAGTGACAGAGCAAGGCTGATGTGCAGTGATCGGTTTGAAGAAGGGGCGGCAGTCACTGGCCGACACACGGCGCCAGTCACTAACAAGGGGGGCCAGAGTTAAAAAGTTTAAAAGAACTCCAGATTCATCCGAGAAGAAAACAGAAAGGTGAAAAACGCAAGAAAATAAAGAAAGAAAGAACCCAACTCATCTCATATGCACGTATAAAAAATATGAGCAAGATTGTAGCCTTAGGTGCGGGAAAATTAGGTGGCAAGAAACTTGACCCTTCTCCTCCACCAAAACCTAGTGCAATGGAAATGTAAATACAATGGAAATTAAGGAGAGGAGATACTCCAAAGTACTGTCCATTCTCCTAATATGGGCAAAATCTATACAAAATTTTTTCTAGCTTTATAACAATAAACCAGCATCTTCTATCATCTTTACCTCTATGATCATCATATTATCCATGCACAATTTGTTGTTGCCCTGGACCTCCTCCATGGAGAAGCACTATTGAACAGTGATGATGAACCATGTACCACCTCCCCTTGTGGAATTCAAACATGTTAGTCACATGAAATGGCCTTGCATCTTGTTGAAGATATGCTTTCATGGTGACCCAAGCAGAATCTGAGAGTACCCTGGCCCTCACATCCCGAATCTGGAAATCCGTGCTTTCATCCCAGCTAAAAGCTAGCTGCCAGCTTTCTATTACTGAACTGTAACTGTATAATAACCAGAAATGGGAATGTATACACCGTAAAAATGTGAAAATACTAACATCAATCCAAAAATCTATGGACACTCTTCAGGTATTTTTTAATTAGGAACATCTGAGTGTCTGTTCCTTGATATTACATCAAAAGCATTCCACAGCAATAAGCTTTCAATTGACATATCGACTGAATATAAGAGCTATATTGTCCCTTTTAGTTCCCAAATCAGTAGTTTCTCTAACCTCATTACATTATCACACTCTTTCATCTCTGGTGGTCTCATGTGAGATATCACTTAAAAAAGAATAACAAACCCCCCTGACTCATGACTCATCACGCAAGTCAGATCCACACACTAAAAGTTTAAAGAGCAAATATAGGAAAAAAGATCTAAACCCATCATGTGCAAATGTGTTCATGTGAGGCGGTCTCAAGCTCTTAACAAGCGAGAATTTGTACTTCATTTTTATATTAATTTATTACATTTATATGCTTATAATTTGCCTAATTGAGAGGTTTGTGTCTTACTTTTATCGTAACATTGATTTTCAAATGTGAGTAATTTAATTGGAGTATTTGAGGATTATTAGGGCTCATTGGAGAGATTTTATTTCCAAATTCGATAATGCGCCATTTCAAGAATGATACTGCAATTATGTATGTCTAATACACATACGTGTAGGTCTAAATGTATATGTATGTTTTTGTTATATACCTCGTATAATTCAATTAAATATGTTTATACATTATTTATATACGTACATACGTACGTACACATGCGTGCGTAGGTATGTATTTATGCACATTTTAGTATATGTTTAAAACAGGGGCGGGGCAGGGATGGGGTGGGTGTAGCAATCCCCGTCACCCGCCCCATATTTTAGTGGGGTATACATATCACACCCATCCCCGCCTCCGTCTCGCCCAAAACCCTGCCCCATCCTTTCCCCACGGGTCCCCGCCCCCATTGTCATCCTTAGGCAGCTCAAAATAAATCAGGAAATTAACGTTTCTAGCGGCAAACTGATTAAAACAGCTGAAATCCTTCACTACAAAAAAAACGCAGACGTGGGTTTTCAGAGATATTATAGTTGGGAATTTGGAAGGTTTAGGAGCCTGGGCAGTTGGAAGCTACTGAATCACTCATGGCAGTCCGAAGGAGGAAGGGTGGAGGCTTAGCTTGGCTGTCCAGCATATGGTCCCGAGGAAATTGATTGGGGTAAGAAGAAGAGAAGAGGGGGGCAATGCTTTGGGGGAGGAGAGCTGCATAACTCCAGAGGATAGCAGCAGCAACCCTTGCGGAATTTTTTCTCTACTTTAGGGGGTTAGCCGGTTTTGAACTTAGTAATTTAGTAGCTTGGTTTCTTCATGAATTAGATGATAATATGCCCTTCCCAGTATTAGCCTTCTGGATGATTAAAATGGTTGAGATTATTTCTGGCATGCTTATTGTTTTAATCAATAAATTTATTGTTATGAGTAGCTAAATTCTTAATCCCAGAAGTATGATGAAATTTCTATGATTTTGTATGAAATGGTGATTTTGGTTATGTTAATTAATTGAGTTTTATCCGTTGTTCTTATTCACTTAATTTGTTGTGTTAATTTTTGGCAAATTTTAGCTTGCCTATTAATTCAAGATCTTTTGGATAAAGTATATACGATAGTATATTTTAACTGTCTTGTGGTTGTCTATTTGGTTCTCAAAACGGATTTTCGTAGTTCTTTTGTGCTTAAAGGATTTTAATTACTTAATTAATAAATTATTTATTGATTGATAGTTAAAATATGTGACTTATTCTGGACGCCATATAGAATAGTCACGTGTTTTCCTAGAACGAACCCATAATTTTAATTGACTAACTAAATCGCAAATATTAAAACATAGTGACTGATTCCCTGTGTTCATTTCAGTTCAGCTTTACTTTTTCAAATTTAAAACAAAACATTCTCATACATATCTATTTTAGTTAAATTGATCTTATTCTTTCTTCTTATTTCAATAATTCTTTCTTTTACAGTTTTACTTAGTAACATTTTCCCCATGGACTCAACCCTTCATCACTATACTACCGTGACTCGTGCACTTGCGAGAACTATTAGCTCTCACTTCGAGAGGAGACCAAAATGTAATAATTAAAGGTTGAGAAACAATCATATCCAAAAACAGTTTTTAAAGAGTTTCACTTTCAACTCTTTAAAGTATTTCATTTTGGCTACGCCTCGTAGTGAGACTGTCTAACAAGTTATTGTATATTCAATTCAAATCACTCAAATGAAATGTTCACTCAAATGAAATGTAACAAGGAGCCCGATATTAAAAATACAACCAAAACAGTGAAAGAAAGAATGAGAGAGAGAAGAAATCATCAACATCGAACAAAAAATAAATGTAAACACAAGCAATATAAAACAAATCTCAAGGGTTTATTTGGATGGAGGGCTTTGGAGGAGAAGACTTTGGCAGGTTTAGTATATAGTAGTATCTTGGTAGATATAATGTTTCTAAAGATGACAGGGAGAAATTGAAATGTTATATGATCAATTAGTATATTTGAGATTCCATAAAAACTGAAGGAATGACATAATACCCTAATAAGTGATCATACTATCACCCTTTATTTGTCTTTGGAAGAATTGTATTTATGAGGATATAGACTAGCCCCTCTAAGACTCTCTATCCAAACCTACCCTAAGTGTAGCTGCACACATCCTCACCCAATGACAATGATAATAACAACTGAAAAACATTCCTGCAAGATCATCAGTATATATTTAATAAATTAAAGTTTGTATGAGCTATTTATTGGTTCTAACTTTGTCAGTGAGTTGTCTGTGTCTTACATACAGTACTGATTGAAATTAAATGATCTTGTGCGGGAAATATTTCAGACTATTGTTGTAATAAAGTACTCTAGGAAATCTCAGCATGTACTTAGTTGTGCCTTCAGCTTTAATCTTTTAATTATTTATCAATATGAATATTGAATATGTTCTAGCCTTCACGGGTATAATGCAAACAAATGCAAACAATAATCAAATTGACAATAGCTTTTGAAGACAGAATTCGACTTACCCGGTACAGGACTCTCCATTGGCAAGAAAACACTTCACATAATCAGCCTTCAGCCAAAAACGACCCATTGCAGGGAGAGATTTTTCCTTGATGATCTCAAAAAACTCAGCGTTAGTGTTCACAATGGCTCTTGTAGATGCATAGTATGCTTTCCATCCATTCACTGGTGTCACATTATCCTGTTCCAAAGTAAAATCCTGGAAGAACAATTAGGAGAAAAAGGCTCAATTCACACGTGAAATTAGAAAATGGTTGTTCCATTATACATCAACTGACATCATTAAAAATGGGTCACGAAAAAATTGAATAAATCCCGTGCAATATACGAAATAGAGGTATGAAGTCCACCAATTTAGTTCTACAGCCCAGTCAGATAGCACAGTTTCCCCCTCATGAAACAACTAATAAAATGTCATGAATCAACTATAACTAAACCATTCAAATAAGAGAAAATTTAGTCATCATCTGCAATACAATATATATACAATGAAGTGAAGTTAGGCCACAACACCAAATTTAACCCTCTTGAAATGAAAGTATTTGTAGAATTTAACCTTATGATACAAAGCCTTCCACGCATTATCATCATTTGCAGCTTTCCGCATTAGCGAATTAGTCATAGACAGTCTACAAAGACTGGGATAATCCAAATAGCTGAGCGCATGAGTAGTAATTTCTGGAACCAACTGTTCCATCATTGACGCACCGCTAAGCCTCTCCGTAGAAGCCACTGCCATAGGCCCGCGCTCGACCATCTCTTTCCCACCACTACCACCAGAACTGCAACCCTCTCCGTCCGTCAAATACGTTGTCCTTTCACCGACGACGTTCGCTTTGCAGTAACAAAAACAGCCGGAGGACCTGGAATCTGATTTGAAATGCTTTCTCGATTTTGATCGGAAGGTGAACAGAACGACTGTAAAGAGGCAGCAAATGACTGTGGCTGTTAGGGCTACAGAAAAATCTCCGTGGAAGAGAAGGTTGTTCTTCATTCAGAATACATTAAGCTGGCTATGCAGCATTTCATGAACAAACCCTAGTTTTTCTCTTGACTTGCTAGACTGTAGAAATGATAAAATTGAACAGCAATTCAGTAAAGTTTTCCTACGCGGAGACAGGAAATACTGCTTTTCTTCTGAATTACGCTAGCGCGCCGCTTAGAAAAACCCTGTGCCTCGGCCATGACCAACGAAAAGTTTACCGGCGGATGGTGAGAGGCAGGTACTGACAGAGGTAGTTCATGGAGCGGTGGTTCAAATGATTATATCGGATGGATTAGAGGGCAGTTTAGGGATTGTAATTCTAAGTTTGATGCAACTTCAGTAGCTTACCAGTTAAGTACGTCCTAGTAGGGGTTCATAAATTCGGTTCCGTCATTTGATTGTATTGGTTAGGTTTCGATTCACTGGTTTTTAATCAGTTCGGTTTTTTAGTGGGTCAGTTCAACAACTCTTAGAATCACGAATCGGGCCACAAGAGTTTAATTGATTTCAATCGGTTTGTATCCATTTGACCGATTTTAGCACGTTTTGGCAGGTTTTTGTAGACGATTTTGATTTCACTGGTTTTTAATTCACAAAAGTATAAACCATAAACCAAACTGCTGATGGAATAGACAGCTTTGGTCGATTTTGGTTTAGTCAATTCGATTTTGGTGAGTTCAATTTCGGTCGGTTTGTCGACGGGTTTAGGTTTTTAAATTTTTTTTATTCACGCCTACACGTATATCTGAAAAGGAAAGAAAAGTTAAACCGAGGAAATGGTCAAATAGGTTTTTCTATTATTTTCAATTCATCGCTTAAGTTTATACATATACAAGTGCTAGATAACTTTTACTTTAAAAAGACAGTTAATCAATATCTATTTTAACCTGTTATAACATGTTATTTAAAAGGGGTTTGACCCTAATATTACTAATAAGTGGATAGTTGACAAAAAAGTGACTTTTTATTTAATTTTTCAAAAAAGTGACTGAAATAATAACAGAATCGCTACAGTAACGGTGCTACAGTGACAATGCAACAGTGAAAGTGTTATAGTGACGGTGCTACGGTAAAAAATTACATTGGCACAACGAAAAACATTTTTATAGTGACTTCATTCCACGGTATTTACTGTCTGCCCATCGGCCACAGTGACGTCCCACCAGTTACACCGCCACCGGTAACAACATCGTAGTGACACGAACAACACCGATGACACCACCACAGTGACATGCCGACTCCGGTTATAGTGACACGCCCGTCCTACCCCTGCTCCTCACCGCCCTAGCGCAGTCGCTGACCACCACCTTGGACCACTGCCGCTGACCAACACCGTCAGCACCGCCCCACCCCAACTTAACTCCACAGCCCCCTCACAGCCCTCCTCCCAGACGCTTCCATCACCAGCCCCCAATCCCCTCCCCTGCCCCGCCTCTCTCCGACCAGGTCCAACCACCATGGATTCCGGCGTGACCAATCCCCACCGGTCCCCTCCACCAGCCCCGTCCCAACCACCAGGCCCTAGTCCCACAACACCCGCCCCAGCCCTGCCCAGCAACGACGCACTCCAGCCCCTCAAGTCACATCCTACTTTCAAACCTCGCCCAAAACAACTCCCTACCCCTATCTAGGAGTGGGCATGGTTGGTTAACCGTATTTCGGTTAACCAATTTATGGTTAACCGAAATATCGGTTAATATGTTTATGATATCAGTAACCGTACCATAATGACGGTTAACCGGGTAACAATTAACCATCTCATAGGTTAACCGTTAATCGGTTAACCAAAAAACCGTATATACAAAGTATATGAATAAACTACTAACTAGGTTCGTTTTAATATTGCCGCATGAATAACGCCCTATACTAAATTACGTTACAGACGTAGTAAATTACGTATATGCAGTATTGTGGTTTTCAGAATAACATTTTTACCAACTGGAAGTTTACTACAATATATAATACTACATACGGAGTACGTATTACGAAGAATTTATACGGAGTACGTAATATGCTTCAACTGTGATTCAATATGTACTCGTACTGTCTCGTAGTGTATAACTAAAAAAGTTAGATTTGAAACATACGTTTCATAAAGTTGAGAAAATTTCTTGTAAGATGCAATACCATATTCTTTGAATCTAAAATGAAATTTTAAATATAAAATCCGAAAATAAAATTAAGTATTAAATCTAAGATGCAATATCATATATATACTCCGTAAATTTGTAAATAAATATGGACAAGGAGTTAATATTGAATATAATACAGGGAGTTTTATGAACTCACATTGGATAAATAAGCAAAATGTATGTATGAATTTGGGAGCAATATATTAACTTTGGATTAGCGGTTAACCGACGATATTTAATTTCAAAACCGTAACCGTATAGTAAAACGTTTTTTCTACCGGTTGGTTAACCGTCCCGCAAGATTTAAAAAACACGTTATGGTTAACCAAAACAAACACCGGTTTTTCGGTTATTTACCGCGGTTAATCGGTTACGGTTTTTTTCGCCCACCCCTACCCCTATCCCACCTGAGTCACCCAGCTACCAACACAGATCTGGAAAATATAAGAAGGAAAACCCCCCAGATCTGAAAGGGGAAGAACAATAAAGGAAGATCGGAGAGGCAAGTCCCTATGTAGAGGTTCGTCGACCTTCTTCAGAGGCGGACCAGTGGAGATGCAGCAAATAGGCACGGCGAAGCTCAGAGAGGCGGACCGGCGGAGAGAAGTCGCCATGGCCGTGCGAAGAGAAATATCGGCGTGGCACCGTGGCCGTTGGCTGATGGCAGCAGAGAGGAAGCTACGCCGATCGTGCAGGGAGAGAGCTGCCATGGCTGTAGGGAGAGAGAAGGTCAAGGCCGTGTGGAGAAGAGAGGTATGCGACTCTGCGTGCGAAATAAACTCCGTAGAAGCTCTGTTAAGTCATGGGTTAGTTTTATGGGAAAAAATAAAGTGATAAGCAGTAATATTTTTGGAATTAGAAACTTGGGGGAGTAATATTAGTGCCATTATTTTTATTTAAAAAAAAACTATAATTAAAACAATTGATAAATCTTGTAGAACATAAAATAAAATTGAAAAATGTTGTAATAATAATAATATACTTGTATAAATAGTTAAATTCAAAAAAAAGATACACAATTTTAAAAGGTTAACATAAAAAACTAAATAGAAATTTGAAAAATGAAAATTTAATTGAAAGTATATAATTATCAAATTAAAATGTAATAACTTTTTAAAAGTTGTTAAATATACAAAGCAGTCCAAAGAATCAGAGCTCTTTTTTAGAAGCGATAAGAGAATTATCATTCCTGCAGATAATAATTTTAGACAGTGATGGAATCAAAGCTCTTTCTTTAACAACCGCATCTTTTGATTGAATTCCACAAGAAGATGGGTATCCCTATCATTTTCATCATTATAGCTTTTCCAAGACAATTCACTTGATTTTACAAACTTATCCATTAACTTATACCTAGGGATGGACCCGGTCAACGATCCTATACCGATTCGAAATTGGGTCCGCTACTGTGTGGGACTGGACCAGATCAGGAAAACCGATCTTGGTGCCCAACCACGTAAGAGGTTATCCTGATCCCGAGTCTTATCACAGACTGACCATTTTTTCCCTTGAAATCGGATGAAAAGCTATAACAGGTCCGAGTACCCGAAATCGGCCCAGAACTCGATTACTACGACTTGGGCCTGGGCCTTGAAAAAAGTGGGAAGGACCAGGTGGTTTCGGCCCGGAGCTGAGACCGGACCGATTTGGGTCCATCCCTACTTATACCCTTTGCAAGGAAACTCTAAAAAATGTAGAAAAAATGTTTTTTCACCCAAATAATGAATGAGTAATGACGTTACACACCATTACCAATAGCAAGAACAAGGACATTAGCAGATCAAGAGGCTGGATGAGGGATGGACCGGGTCGGGTTATATATATTATTTTTTTTTTGTTTTTCTTATTTATTCCTACACACCCATCCCCCCTAGTCCCTACCCCCCAAACCCCCCAGCCCACCCACCTAACACCAAAATGAACTAACCTAGTTGGAATAAAATTGGCCCAGACCGGCCAGGCCTGTCCATCAAAATGGCAGCCCGTAGCCCGCCCCAAAACCACCCCCGTTTCGGGCCCAAGGCCCGATCCCGACGTATCGGTTCGGGCCAGTTCAGAACAATAGCGGGCCAGGTTGGTCAATTCGGGCCCAGTTAAGCATGGACCGGGCCTGTTCATAGCGGGCTTTTTTCCAGGATGTTGGGCCCGGAACCGGCCCGGGTTGATACCGGGTCCGAGCCAAACCGGGCCGGGTCGGGCCCGATTCAAGGTAAAAAAAATGGTTTGTAATTAACCCCCGGCCCCCCTCTCTCACGCCACCCCCAAACCCCCCCAAAACACCCAGCCCCACCCAAGGAAAAGAAAAAAAATTGAAAAAAGAAAAACAATGAACCGGGCCTGACCCGGACCACCCAAGCCGATTCATGAAAATCAACACCCGAGCCCGGCCCGCCTAACCCGCCCAAACCGAGCTAAAGCCCAGAACCGGCCATCTAGGCCAGCATAGAAGCGGGCCGGTCCAGTTCCCGGGCCGGTTAGAACAGGTTGAGTCCATCCCTAGGCCCAGTCCATCCCTAGGCTAGATCGAGAATATTTTCAATTGAACTAAAATTTTCAAGTGTAGTTAGGAGTGGACTCGGGCCGGGCCAACCGGCCCGGAACCAGACCGGCCCGCTACTGTACGGGCCCGGACCGGCCCGGTGAACCGGTTGGTTGCCCGGTTAGGGCCACCCGGCCCGGTGGGATGGCGGTTCGGGCCCGGGCCAATTTATTATATATTGTTTTTGAATTTTTTTAAGTTTTTGGGTTGGGCTGGGTATTTTGGGCCATTTGCGATGGTTAGGGTTGGTTTGGGAGTGAGGGGGAGGGTTGGGGGTTAACTAGGAAAAGCCAAAAAAAAAATAGAACCGAGGCCCGGCGGTGTAGTGCGGTGTATTTAAGTATTGTCGAGTCTAATATGAATTGATCTAATAGATGATTAGATGTATGTCTCTCTGACCTGGGACGAGTCCAATTAAATAGATCATGTTTTCAAAGTATGCGTGCTTTTATGATATATATAGTACTCTTTGTATAACAATTTAAGCAATAAATTGGAAATCGTAGAAGAAAATATTTAATCCTTGCTAATTTCAGATCATTGATTCCTACCAAATTAGCAAGCCAAATAAAAAAAATATTTAAACAGAAATAAAAAAGGTCAGCCCCAGCCTATTTTAGGGGAATTGGAGATTTGGAGCAGGTAAAAAATCTCTAAATAATTTGAGCTGATCTCATAACCGGCTTTCCAGATGGATCTTCGGTTAAACCCGAATGGTTCCGATCTAGGTTTCAGTTTGGAACGGGGTCATGTGCTCTCTATCCCAGAAGTGCAATGGGGATGTTTGAGGAGTATCAGATAAATCCTTGTAATTTTAAAAAACCTGCATTCCTCATCGAACAAAAAATGCAGTTTGGAACGGGGTCGTGTGCACTCTATCCCAGAAGTGCAATGGGGATGTTTGAGGAATATCAGATACATCCTTGTAACTCTACAAAACCTGCATTCCTCATCGAACAAAAAAATGCAGACCCCCCTCCCCCTCGAACTCTCTATCTCTCTGCCTAAACACTAAGCACATATGCAATTGGTGTCTTCGTCTGTCTGCAGGCCTTGTCAAAAAAGCATTCCACACTATGAAGCATCTCCTGCTAGCACTTTGCAGTGTCAACTTCCCCAGGGTTTGAATTCCAGTTTTTTTTGTTTAATTTTTCTAGTTCAGTCTTGTTTAGAGACAAGATGCTATTATGCTTCACGATGTCAAAAGACTGTACTCTAGCTCATTACCATGCTCTTGTTCTTGATGAAATAAGGGAAGAGTTCCAGGATCTCTCTCTTCCAGTAGCAGACTTGCTGGTGTATCTGGCGGATAGTTGCTGAGGATAAAGTCTATGTCATCTCCACTTATCTCCTTCTGCTTAAGAAGAACCTGGATAAAGCCAAATGAGCAAGTTTGTAACACTTTCAGTGTGTTTGGAAGCAAAAAATGGAGTGGGAAAGAAAAGAAAACAAGGAAATGACAGGATAACATGGACTTCAACATGGTATTTCGTTGGTTTGGTAAATTGGTAGAGAAGAAATATGAAGGGAATGGGAGCAAATGTGTGAATAATGACTTCCACTCTTGAACTACTTTTGAGTACAAAAATACTCTTTTTTCTTTATACTCTACCAACCTATTTTAGTTCAAATATTTGTTCACTATTTGCAATCTATGTGTCTCTTCAACCAAACAACTTTATTTCACATCTACTTCTCTTTCTCTTCTATAGAACCTGCCTACTTCCCCTCCCACTATTTCTTCTCCATACACCAAATACAGCCATAAAGGGCATTGGGATGCGCTGTCACAATCATCTAATTGCTCGCAAGCCATAAGGGCACTACTAACCTAATGGGTTAACCGGAGGGGGGGTGTTGGAGAGTATATGAATGATCTTACTACCTTAATGGTTTTAAGTAAAGCAGCATGATGCTGCCTCAGCAAAGTAACAATCTTTCCATACGAATCTCTCATCAGTGCTTCAGTCCTCTTTGAAACATCATCCTCCATATCAAAATTGAGAGGAGGCTCGATCAAGCAATTTTCATCGTATAACGATCCTTCAAAATCAAGACGCGGACCCACAAATTTTACACTCTTTCTCCATGGTGGAGGTTCGCCATGGACAGTCATTGGGTTTTCTAAATTCCATCTGTGAAGAAGAGAAGACATGAGAACCTGGCAGGAAGATTAAAAAGGCAACAAGTAAGAAGTGAGCAACACTAGAACCGAACATACATTGTTATAATTTTACGTGCAAGCCATGTTGCATCAGCAAGGTAGCTCACTGATGATTTTGAAGTATCCCGCCCAAAAATCACCTCCTCAGCAGCTCTTCCTCCCAACAACACCTTTAAAAAATCAATGGTTCATATAAAAGTGATCCCAGTAATTCTATGAGTAGTCAAAGCAAAAACGTCAAAAACGTTTTTTAGGAACTGGGTCTACTATGCTTGCTAGGCAGCGTCTTTAACCAGTATTTTATTTGTGAATACTCCCCCTTTTTTTGATACTTATATAAAAACGCCAGGCATAAATAAGACAAAAAAGGAGTCATGTTTTAAACATATCTTGTCCCAAAGTAAAAGTCTAGTTTGATCAGACGAGGCTAATTTATCATATAATTTGCCAAATACATTGCCAAAAAGAGTTGCATAGAAGTTAAATATGATAAATCTAGGTAAGCCAACAAATAAATTTTAAAAAAACAACTATGAATAATGATTTATGCATTTGTACCTTACCAGAAACAAAAAAAATGTATTTCCTGCCTCCCATTGGACATTGTCACGTTTGTGTTCGGTGTGAAATAAGAAAAGTAAAAATTGTATGGTTGAGAGTTGTGCAGAAAAATCCGACATTTCCAATTGAGCTAAACACTCACTATTTTTTGGCTTGGGAATATGATGAAATAAAGCAAAATGGCTCACTAAACTGTCTGCGCTTCTTCAGCCATCAGTCCATGCAATTTACGACGCGTTTTTCATTACAGGTCATCCGGAAACAGTCTATGTGTTTTAGTACAAGGGTAATGTTGTTGTTGAGAGTTGTGCAGAAATGAGAGAAAAAAGCAGAACCACAAATTATTTACTTAAAAAGGAAACATGTCAAAGTTTTTGAGAAACAAAAAAGAAAAGTTGGTGAAATCTAATTGGACAGAGAGAGTATTACATTTCTAAATTCTTTGGGAGAGATTATAAGTGGCTCCACGCAAGTACATATATGTAGGACCAAAGGAAAAGGTCATAAACGGTAAGATTTATACCTGAAGTCGGTGCAATAGTTGAGGCCGGCGCTCAAACACATAGAACTCTTCATCAAGACGATGGAAGACAACTTGGGAAAGGGTCTACAAGATAATTATGTAAAACAGCATTATAAACTAACCTGATGCATGATATGCCTGCCGCCTATAAAAGCAGTAAAGCTGGTTGGTTATATACTACCTCCGTCCCGAAAAGGCTCGCCATATTGACTTTTTTTAGTCAATGATGGCAATCTTTGTACAATAATTTTAATTATTATATTTGTATATAAGTTATAATATTTATACTTTTATGAAAGTAAATTGAATAAGGAACACTTTGATATAATTTTCATGTTCAAAATAATTTCGTACTAAAAAATATCATTGATCAAAGTTGATTGTCATTGACCAAGAAAAGTCAATTTGGTGAACCTTTTCGGGACGGAGGGAGTATGACAAAAGACCATCAAATGGATGGATGGATAGATAAATAATAGAACAAAATACATGAAAGAAGATCCAGGTGAAGTTGGTGTTGTTCATGGAGTCTAACCTGGCCACGAGGGTTAATAGATATACGGTCACAACGTTCAACCTTTGCATTTTCATTATGTCTTAGCAGGTGAGAGGTCAAAGCAGTCCCGACTTCTGTAGTAGCACGGCGGCACTGGCCTTGATGTCCCAAGTCGATCCCAGTACGTCTGGGTCCCACCGTCAATCTATCACATGCATCATCCATATCCGAGCTTAAAATAGAGTTATGACCCTTTCTGACTGCAACAAGAGCTGCCTCCTGCAGGAGTTGTGCAAGTTCTGCCCCACTCCAGCCTGATGATAGATACAACAACTGTACAGTAAATCACCACATATGCAAGCTGATAAATTTTTTCCCATCAAGGTATACCTTGAACCCCACTCTTTTGGGAATAAGCCTTGGTTGTTGTTGCTGTAAGGTATACCTTGAGCACAATTCCCATAGGAGCATGTCAGTGCTTAAATAATTAACCAGTTGGAGTACAAAGCATATTTTACTTTTTCCCCCAAGTACTTTTTACCATCCAGGTGTATCATAAGACAGTTCCATGACAATTAAAACAAGGAAAGTGTAGTTGACAAAGACAGTAAACTAACCTGGTAAGTTCTGGGCATAACTAGCTAAATCAACTGTGTCTGATAATTTTACGTTACGTGCATGAACTTTCAGAATATCCAATCTACCTTTTGCATTTGGAGGTTGAATTCGTATCTATAAAAAGATAGATTAAAAAGCTGACACCTTCAGAATACTTGCAATCTATACAAACCTCACATTAACACTTGAATATATCACAATTTCCAAGGAACATGTAGGTAATAGACTAATAGTTAATACAGATTATATTTTAATACATTGGGCAGTTTTTATTGTTGTAAAGAGGTATAATACAAAAAGTATAGTACCTCTTGACAATTGACTTGACAATAAAATGCTTATAGATACAAAATACAAATTATGAGCATATATGATTGTGCAACCATTGGTACAATACAAAAAGTGTCCAATAATTATAGGGATAATTTTTCAAAATAGGAGTAAAAACAATTTGAAATTCCAAAATATGGCAGTATTAATGAGGCCGTGTTTTGCAAACATGACACTAAATTACTCCTTTGGGGGGGGGGGGGGGGGGGGCTGAGTACTCCTGCTTTGGGATTTCACATTGTTTTCACTCTTATTTAGGGCAATTTCAGCTAATTATACCACACAATGAATAACAAAAGAAGGGGAGAAACAGCCGAACCCCCCAAAGAATAAAATAAAGTGTGAAAATCACATATTTTAACCTATAAGCAGATTCCTACCTTGCGATCAAATCTACCGGGCCGAAGAAGTGCAGGATCTAACAAATCCATTCGATTTGTTGCCCCTAAAAATATAACACCTTTCCCTGTGTCAAACCCATCTAGCTCAATCAAGAGCTGGTTCAATGTAGTTTCCCTTTCTTGGGTAGCTGCATTATACATGTCATCGGTTGATTCATTAAATGTCCCTTGGCGCCTATTAATTGAAGTTATGTTAGAAAAGTCTATATGGTTTTATCGAACATGTGACAAATTCAGATGTCTGTAATAAGAAGAAACATAATTTTCTACAAATTCCACATTAATGAAATACATTTAGCTCAAATTTAAGTTTCAAAAAACATCCATACCTTGTAGCCAAAGCATCAATTTCATCGACGAAAATGACTGATGGTTTATTCACCTGTGACAAGATATTGATCTTCAGAATACATCACAAACAACCATGCCTTAATCCCAAATCAATGGGGTCGGCTGAAGCAGTAAAACTTCAGAATGCATGGTTCCATGGTGTATAAAATTTAGCTTAACTTTAAAGGTCTTTTGTCTCCACTTGTCATCTGGTTTTACAATAAATCATTTGTAGTTCTCCTTTTTGTAAACGATACCCAACTAAATAATCCCTCTGTCACTTAAAAAGTTTCACTCTTCCAAATTTTGGATGTCCTATGAAAGTTCATTTTCTTTATTTGGTTCACAGTGTTTGGTTAAATAACAATATACCCCTTGCTTTTCCCACCATAAAAGACATGTCAGTAACTTTTTATGAGCATAAAAGGAAATTCTACTCTCCACAAAAGATACACTCTTTATAAGAGAGCCAAACCCAAGAATGTCATGGTTTAAAGAAATGGATGTCATCTGATCCATGAGGAGGCACCATTTTTGCACTTTCTCCTAAAATTTTGGTCTAAATTTTATACTAAGTTCCCCAAGATTATCCATTGTTTATCACCGTACACTCGCTGCTTTTCATTTGGTAGGAAAATGAAAAAGAATGCCATGAATGTCCTAATAATTTTAGCACGGGATGGCTGGGACGCCATGGTTGAAGTGACACATCAAAATATAACACTAATAGGAAACTTTAACTAACAATAATAGGAGACGAATAATAAGATTTTAAGTTATTATCGTTCAATTGATTTGGTCTTTAATCTTTCTCCACTATTTGAGCAAAGCAGTAGCGAGGGTGAAGACCACTCAACAGCAGAGAGCTATATCAATAGCAGCCAAACAGTGGGTAATCATAGGAGTTCAGCTAATCCGATTGTTGTTTTACATTCAAGATTTTACGTTTCCATGGTTCAAATTATTTGACCTCAGTCCTTAAATAAACCACACACTTTCGTTAATGTCCCGTCCTAAAATAGTAAAATTTTCCGCTATTTTGTTATAGGCAAAGCATTATGTGGTTCATGTTATCTTTCTCCTCTAAATTAATTTCAGCCACATAGATTCTATTTTCCTAACCTCCGTTTCTGATCAATTTGTAGGTTTACTTAAGAACAGAGGGAGTATATTTCTTTGAATCCCAATCAATGGTTATCTAAATAATAGCGATATTGCATATTACCAGTTCTTGGGGAACCTGACACCCTTACTCATTCTAGATTACTAGTTTGGCCATGTATGGTTGCACATTTATGTATGTTTGCCTTGTTAACTACCCCACAATGGTGACTATAGCAAATCTCAGCATCCCTTCCAATGTTGGTACAGTATGAGTTCTTCATATACAGATTCAAGAGTTAAGACACCAACAAGACTAAAATGAAAAACATGCCAGAAATTGTGCTAGCGTTGTCTCAACAGCAAGCCATAAAATAAAAATAAAAATTACTCTTTAGCCCTACTGGGGCCAATAAAATGATACCTTCGCTCTCTTGAATAAATCCCTAATACGAGCGGCACCGACACCAACTAATACTTCAACAAATTCAGATCCAGCCATTTGGAAAAAGGGAACACTGGCTTCACCTGCTATGGCCTTGGCAACTAGGGTCTGAATAAAACATATGCATAGTGCTATATTATTAATTATTAATTGATATAAAGGCTATCGGTATATATTATTTAATCAGCGCCTATAGGTGTAGGAAATGAAACTAACCTTACCACATCCGGGAGGGCCCTCCAGAAGAACTCCATGTGGTGGTTTTATCCCCATTTTATCAAATAGATCAGGATTCTTCAAGTAGGTTACCAACTAACAAACAGATTGAAATCGTCCAAGATCTCAGTTAACATTAAGAAGCCTTTAAGCATGGAAATAAATTAGAGATCGAGAACTGGCAACAACGAACAAGATATCAATTGAATATATAAAGTCAACAATACAAATGGATACTGTGAATTATAAACTAATTAAATATTGATTGTGGTCCCATTTGGTAAGGGTTATTTCGCTAAAATGGCTGAATCTTCTGAATTTCTAAAAGGGAAAGTGTTTGGTAATCAAGCAAGGAAAAGATTTTGAGCCAAATAAGCAAGCCAAAACTACTAAATATGTTGATAAGCAGAATAGGCCCGATAAGGCTACCAAACATATACTTAATCACATAAACCCTGGTATTTAAAGAGTTGTAATAGTGAAAAAATTATAAATATTTACAAACATTTATATCTAGGTCATAAATTTTTCTAGAGACTGACAAGAATAGTTGAAGTTATACACAATTGTACGACTTCTAAATTCTAATGGTCTTCAGTAGCTTTTAAATTTGACTTCTTCTCTGTATTAACAGGATACAACAATCAAAACAGCTATTGGTTATAACTTTCGTGAGCTATATTAAGTTGCAGGGGAGAATTGAAGAAATATGAAAAGGAACAGAGGTTAAAAACAACAACTACCTCCTGAAGTTCTTCCACAGCCTGCTCAATACCAGCTACATCATTAAATGTGACCCCAGTCGAACCCTATATGATCACTATTTATTTAGAAACAAAACGGAAATGGCCAGCTACCCTATTTTATGTAATGAACAAGAAAACACTTAGAATGGGTTGAAATCTGTGGGGATTGGGGAAATACAAAATTACACTCACATCCACACGAGCTTGTGGCTTAGACTGAGAAAATTCAATGCCTTGCCAAATGTCCTGCATGAAGCACAACAGGTATCAAGAACTAACTAATCAATCATATTGCAAAACCAGAACATCATAAGAAAATCCAGGTCTAATGCTCACCTTTTTTATAAAGAAAATTAGAAATTTTAAACTAATGAAATGTTGATTATCTATTTGGTAATGGTTATTTGGCTGAACTTTTTGAATTTTCTAAAGGGAAAACATTTGGTGAAGTCCATTTCAGTCAAATATGTAAGCCCGATGATAGAACAAGCTCCCGATGTACAGAAAATTCACAGAAGATATTAAGCAACACAAATGAAATCTTATTGAAGAAGAACAGTTCCGTAACAACGGCCGAAGCCCCCAATGAGCCGTAGCCCCCCAAAAGAAAGAGAAAGTTCTCGATCTTCCCAAAATACCAGATTATAATGTCTAAACCCCCTTGACTTCTCCCCAGTTTAGTCTATTTATACTAACTAATACACTTATTATTATTCTTAGTCTATTAGGCCCAATTCCTAACAAATGAAATCTTATTGAAGAAGAACAGTTCCGTAACAATGGCCGAAACGTAAAATATACTAATGAACCGTAAAATAATCAAGCGTCAAAGAGTATCGCATTACCAGACTAGAACATCATTAAAGAATGGTTCTATTGCTCACCCATTTTCTAAAGTTCTTAGGTCGCCTTGAAAGAGTGAAACGGACAAGAAGAACCATAGTGAAAAACACAAAAAGGATTGGCTTCAGCAATTCAATGCTGGAAGAAATACCACCAAACGTGTAAATCTGATGCAACTTGGCAAAAACTCCAACAGCGAAAGCGTCATAGACTTTATCATACACTCTCTCTGTGACATCAAAAGCAATGCCCGATAACAGCTTGACAAATGGTTTGGCAACAGGCCAGACAACATAAACAGCCACCACAAATGCAAGGCTTGTCACTGCAAATACTGCCGAAGCAAGGAAGCCACTGGCAATCAATGCAGCTGATGTCATCACCACTGCTACGGTTCCAAGTTCTAACATCAGTCTAGTTGATATTTTAGATGCCACTGGAAGAGGATGCTCTGGTAATTTCCCAACATATGACTGCACATTAGACTTCAAAGTAAGTGATGGAACACCCAAGAAGAAGATAAACATTCATCAGTCATCACCAAGTCATGCTAGCTATTGCTTCTTGGAAAAACTGGTTGCACAACCATTGACCGCAACATACTGACATAGCTGAATATACATAGAACATGACTAAGGATGTTTTTACTTGGACTGTTTTCAGTCCCAGACCAGACATTTACCAGATTAGACTAGACCAGTTCAGAAAATTCCAAAATTCAAGTCCAAGTAAAAACATCCTAACAAGAAAACTGACAGTAAAAGTACTTAAGTACTACAATATCAAACAAATTAAAAGCATGAAATCATGCCAGTGTGGTAAATATAAAAACTAGTTCATGGCGGATATTGCCTAATGTTTTCAATCTGACAGTGGGGCAAAGATAAAACTAGAACATTTATTTAATGGTTCAATACGCCATTCTAGTATACAGGCACAAGTCGGCACAATAATACGTGTTTTGTACTTGTCATTGGTTTATTTTACAAATCAATATTTTCTTAATGAGACTCCAAACTTTGTACCAAGTAATTGGAAGACTAAAACTAAATCTTTCGAAGGAATAGCTATAAACTAAGAGCATGAATGTTTGACAGATTATATAAGAGATCATGTACCATCATTTGCTTTTCAACTTCATAACGTGGCCCATCGTACTCTTCCAGAAGGGTTCTTGCCAAATTCGAATCCAACCTTAGTGACCTAAAGGAAATAAGTTTGAAGAATAAAATATCTAATATATTACAGTCTACTGCAACAAGCAAAAATAGAGATATATCAGTATAAAATAGAATTTCTATTTGTTTTGTTGCTAACCACTTGGTTCTCTGCAAGTTCTTATCCCCGGGAATTTCCTTCAACTGCACTATGAAGTCCCTAAACCCAACTCCAAAATTCGCACCATCATCCTCCTTGAATGTTAGCAGCTTAACCTTATCAGTTTTTGAGTACTTCTGAAAATCCTTGAACTCCATTCTTGGTAATTCCTCCACATTCTTCTCAAATTCCTCAACTTCTGATAAGTTAGACTGGAAAATCTGGTCTGGAACGTACAACTTCCCTTTATATCCCCTCAAAATGTCCTTCAAATACACCTCCTCAGGCTTCCCTGTATGACCTTCTTTGTGCCCTTCCCCCGAAAATCCCTTCAAATTCAACCTCTTTAGAATCTCAAAGGCACCATTATCATGACCTTTATTCTGCAACGCCTCTTTTTCCTTCTGAGTAAGTAACCTATCCCCTAGTTTGTATTTGGGTTCTACTTGGCAGGGGTTTTCATTCAAAACCCTTGTCACAAAGTCATCTTGCGTTCCTTCTCCGATACTGAACTGTCGAGAAGTCTTCGAATTAGAATCTGGTTTGCCAAGGAATGCGCGTGGGAAGCAATTTAGTGAAGATCCTTTTAGGATGGTCGGAGGGAAAATGAGATATCGGTGCCGATTGTGAAGTGATAAATTTAGTATGAATGAGCTCCGGAGGTGAATATTCGGTCGGCGTTCAATGAAGGTGGCTGATGATTTCCATGATTTTGCCGAGCCAGCTGAAGAGCAAAACATGGCAGCTTGCCTGAGTCGTTTCAACCCAGAAAAGTATGGAGATTCCGAAGAAGTTTTCACATTTACCGGAATGCTACGCTAAATATATGCTGGAGTGTTCTGGGAACTGCAAGTCTGCAACGGAAGTGAGAAGAATCTTAGCTAGGCCGATAGGTGAAGATGGATGGGGGCTTTTTACCTTATCTCAAAAATAAATTTATCCGGATCCGTGTTCTTGAGATTTCAGAGTTGAGACGGCTATGGATAACTTCCCCTGTCCAAATGGTTCATCAATACGGTCACAGGGGTCAGCGGTTCCAAATGGAATCAAAAGGGTTGGTTTGTTTTTAAAAGGGAAAGTTGAATCGGCATCAATTTTTAAAATCATTATGTTTATATGATCATCAAATAAACATAATGATTTTAATTTGCTCTCATTCTATTGTTATTATGCCTTGTTTTTTGACACCATTTTGCAAAATTATGTCTTGTGTTGTAGGGAGAGTTGTGTGTGTGACTTCATTACCAGATGCTCTATAAATAGGGGAAAATTGGGGATTACAAGGATGGACCAATATGCTCATAATATTGTTTTACACAGATTGACCGTAATACATATTCTACATACACGATAGCACACCACATAAAATTTCCTTCAACACTCCCCTTTGTGCTGAGTTGTAGATCGAATTTGGTATCAAGCTTGTTGCCTCGTCAAAGCTCTGTCAAGTAACAAAAACACTGTGGGAAAAAATAACCTTGACTGAAGAAAAAGAGTATAGCATCACGATAGACTTCTTCCATTAAGCTTATCTTAATTTATTTGATTCATGCTTTGATCAATAAAGTTTATATGTATTGTTACCTCATTAAAAACCTTACCAAGTAACAAAACCTAGTGGGAAAAATAAAATTTGGTTAAAGGGAAAGAGTGTAACGTAATGTAGTTGGAGTACTCCCCCTCAAGTCTACATCTCCCCTTAATATTTACACTAATCAAAGGTGTTTGCAAAATATGTGCATTTCAAGACTAGTCACATTAATTACCTTAACGAAGGCACACAAATAGAGGAATATAATTCCTTTAGTTCTCCCCCTGTGTGCCGAGTGTAAGGTGATACGTGTAATAATTATTAACTTGCTAAATCGTTGCCAATGAACAAAACCCGATGGGAACAATAAAACTTGGTTAAAGGAAAAAGGAAGTATGGTGCACTAATAACTACGCGTCAATTACTTTTGATTGTGATATAGTAAATATGTTCTTTCTTCAACATTGAAATGTGGGATGGTGCATATTATGTTGTCTCATTAAAAAAACATTACCAAATAACAACACCCAACGAGAAAAAATAACCTTGGTCAAAAGAGAAAAAAAGTAAACGCACCAATATAACTGATGATAAATAAGTATGTAAAGACTCCCCCTGAGTGAAGCACGTCAATACGAATCCAACATTTACTTGATATATACTTTTATGAAGGTGTTTTATAGCATCATGGTTTCTTTTCATGATAAATATATACTCATTAAGAAAATATCAATGAGGTAAGGGGACACCCATCATCGGTAAAACTCAAATCACGTTACTTTGTGTTAGAGTGATACTTTTTATATTTTCATTTCCTCTAGGAGTAGTGTTATCATCAATCATTTAATTCAATTTATAATGGATGAATGAAGATCACACCAATGGTTTCATATAGATATGAAACTATGAAAGTACATTCTTGATACCATTCCAATGACAATATACAATGTGTTGGTCCTAAGCTGTTTTTAGCTGACACGTTATTGAGAATGCAATATTGCACTTACATAGGGAATTTCTTCTTCCAATAACTTTTCAGTAATGGATTTTTTCTAGTATCCATATTTCGACCGATCATGGGAGTGCTAACAGGTTACATTTATCCATGTTAATTTTGTCTGAGAACCCTTTTGGATATATGCAAGTATGCAACTGGGGAATTAGTATTCAACCAACTCGGTGTTTAATTTCAAAGCAGACCCGAGTTTCCCGATATCCTTTATCTCAATTACGACTTTCAAGCATCTAAGATTTCTCATATTTCATTATGAGTACGTATTATGTCTCTATCTTATACATACAATGTCTCTATCTTACAGCAAGCTACATAAGTCCTTTTTTATGTTCTCTCTTTAGCATTTCTTTCTTTTATAAAAACATTTTCAGCCACACTTTTATTAGAATAATTTTATTAGTTTTTAATTAATCCATTCTATTTTTATTTTTCAAAAAATCTATTTAATTTATTTTAAAAATGAAATAAAATGCCAATCTAAAGAGTTTTTCCTATAATATTTCTAATAAAAAGTCTAGGACAAAAACATGACTACAAATTTCTATTAGTAAATTATATAATCGTACCATTTTTATCAGTTAATTGTGTTTGGTTAGAAGTGCAGAAGTACTTCTCAAGATTCAAAATTATTCTTACATTGATTTTTTTAAAAATCGGGGGAAATCACTTGTTCAAAGATTGATTCTGATTTTATTTCTGCTTTTAAAAAGAAACATAGTTCTAAACACTTCTTCAAATTAGAAATGAAAAAGGTACAAATATTCTCCTGTAGTATGAGTGTGAGAACAAATATATCATTGTACTATTTTTTGGAACAGACGTACCCCTGAAGTTTATGTGAAAGTGCTTATATACCCATGAACTTTTAAAAGGTGAAAAAATACTCTTTGTGTTCTCATAAAGGAGCAAATTTATCCTTATTGACGTTAAATAAATAAAATAAATTTTAAAAAACACCAAAAAACAATTATAAATTCGAAATTCAAAAATAAAAGATTAAAGCGTTAAAAATAAATATGTATTTTTATGTTAAAATATCAACTCTTTAAATTTAAAATTCATAATTATTATTTTTCCCTTGTAAATGAAGCAATTCATTTTTTCTGTTGGTTACTTTTATTGCTGTAAGACTCTTTTTAGGATTGGGTGATGGAGGTCTGCTTTAACCGTCATTGGCTCATTCGTCCATTATAGGATCAACGAGTCATATTGCTTTTTGAAGGTGATTGACTCTAAGTTTGGTTCGAGGGCTGATGGCTGCTTGTGGTCCTTTTGTCGTTTTACCCCTATCTGAATACTCTGATATGAATTTAAGCCATCTATTTTGACGATCAAAAATAAAAGTTGAGAGATATGTATGCATTTTTACATAAACTTTATGGATATATTTGTTTTAAAAATTGATCCCGATTCAACTTTCCCTTTTAAAAACAAACCAACCCTTTTGATTCCATTTGGAACCGCTGACCCCTGTGACCGTATTGATGAACCATCTGGACCGGGGAAGTTATCCATAGCCGTCTCAACTCTGAAATCTCAAGAACACGGATCCGGATAAATTTAGTTTTGAGATAAGGTAAAAAGCCCCCATCCATCTTCACCTATCGGCCTAGATAAGATTCTTCTCACTTCCGTTGCAGACTTGCAGTTCCCAGAACACTCCAGCATATATTTAGCGTAGCATTCCGGTATAGAATAGAGTAGAATACTCTAGAATATCATAGAGTTGTATAGAATACTCTAGAATTGAATTGTAGCCGTTAGATCAAGTAGATCTAAGCCGTCCATTGAGGAGGAGGACAAGTATAAATACCCCTCATGGCTGGCTCATTTGTATCATCGAAAGCTTGAGAGCAATAAAGCATTTATACGAGTTTCTCCACAATCGGTGTCCTAGTTTCCGCAAGAGTTAGGCTGACTAGCATAGTTCGAGTGAGTGTTGCTAGTGCCGCACGGGTTCGAGAATAAGTTCGTCCGAGTTACCGAAGAGACTTCCGCCCAAGAGAGACGTAGACCACAAGATCGAGTTGATCCTCGGGTCTACACCACCAGCGGGCGTGCCATATAGGATGGCACCGCCCGAGTTAGAAGAAATGAAGAGGCACTTAAAGGATTTGTTGGATGCGGGATACATCCAACCATCCAAGGCACCCTATGGCGCACCCGTGTTGTTCCAAAAGAAGCATGATGGGTCATTGCGTATGTGCATCGACTACAGGGCGCTAAACAAGATTACAGTGAAGAACAAGTATCCGATTCCACTCATTGCGGACTTGTTCGATCAGCTTGGAGGAGCAAAGTTGTTCTCAAAGTTGGACTTGAGGTCGGGTTACTACCAAGTAAGGATTGTCGAAGGAGATGAGCCGAAGACCACATGTGTGACAAGGTATGGTTCCTTCCAATTCCTTGTGATGCCATTCAGACTCACGAATGCTCCAGCTACGTTTTGCACCCTCATGAATCGGGTATTTGAGCTGTTCTTGGACATGTTCGTGGTGGTTTACTTGGATGACATAGTCATCTATAGTAAGACTTTGGAGGAGCACATTGATCACCTAAGGCAAGTGTTCCAGAAGTTGAGGGAGAACGAGCTCTACGTGAAGAAGGAGAAATGTGCCTTTGCTCAAAAGGAGGTGACGTTCCTTGGGCACATTGTTGGAGGGGGCAAGATCCGGATGGATAAGGCGAAGATCGAGGCAATATGTGGATGGGAGCCGCCCAAGAAGGTGACCGGGTTATGATCCTTTCTTGGACTTGCAAACTATTATAGGCGGTTCATTCAAGGCTATTCTTTTATAGCATCTCCGCTCACTGATCTATTGA